TGCAAGGAACCGTGTACGTAAATATGAGAATCACGCCCTTTCTTAGTTCTTTTGTACGTAAATATGAGAATCACGCCCTTTCTTGGTTCTTTTGTACGTAAATATGAGAACCACGCCATTTCTTGGTTCTTTTGTACTTAAATATTTGAATCACGCCCTTTCTTAGTTCTTTTGTACGTAAATATGAGAACCACGCCATTTCTTAGTTCTTTTGTACGCAAATATGAGAATCACGCCCTTTCTTAGTTCTTTTGTACGTAAATATGAGAACCACGCCCTTTCTTGGTTCTTTTGTACGTAAATATGAGAATCACGCCTTTCTTAGTTCTTTTGTACGTAAATATGAGAATCACGCCCTTTCTTGGTTCTTTTGCAAATTATTTTCAATGTTTAAATTATTATTAATAAATTCTATGTAGTTACGGTATTTTTGATTATATCTAATTCAAGTCCATGTTATTATTTTTTAAATAGAATCCAGTCCATCGCTTATCGAAGAGCCATATTCCATGATTACGAAAGGACTAATATATTCTAAGTCAAAAGATGCAGAAAAAATTGGAAGTGAATCTCCAGATCTCAATGACGTAGTTAAAGTGCAGTCGACAAAACAATTTTCACTTTACAACGATAATGAAAATATATCTGTGAAAAACAGCTCCACCAATCTTCTCACTGAATTCGATACTGGATTGTCTGCTGCAGTCGACTCGGAGAGCGTTAATGGCGTTTTTTTGAATGGAAGAAAGCTTACAAAAAATATTGTTAAAACTTTAAACTACTTAAGTGACAACACTGTCCAAGTCTATGACTCAGGACCATTAACAGCCCAGAAAAATAAAAACTCAAGCGAACAGCTATCGTATCTCGAGAACAATAAAAGCCTTTCGAGAAACATTTATCCATCAAAAATATTTTTTGGTACTGCTGATGCAAAAGATAAAAGTAGACGATTAGGAAAAGAAAGTGAAAGTACCAATCAAAAACTGTCACAAATTAGGAACTTCAGTTTGTCCGAGCAACAAAATACACCCATGAAAAGAAGTCATCACAACATGATCGATGTTATAAGATCTAATCGTCGTGGTCAGAAAAATGGTCCTTTTCTGATTACTGGATTTTTACCCACTATTCATGCCATCAACGGAAGCACAAGTAATGTATTTCACACAACGACAGTTTCTGAAGAAATAGATGAAGGCCAACTTAAAGATATATACAAAAGCATAAATAATGTCGAAGAAACTATAGTAGGTGTGGAGGAAATTGTAACATTGACAAAACCAGAACAGAACGATCACGACGATCGAGAGAGATTAAGAGCTACAACAACATTTCCTGTTACAAATTATAGGGTGGAACATGACATAATTGATTTTGGTTTAAACACCAGAGAGAACGAGAGCCCATTAATAACAACCAGTTCCAATAAGGAACTAATGTTATCTTATCACTTGCAAACTGACTCTTTTTCCCCTGAAACCACTACTTTCAAAAATGTTGACAGCCAAAAAAATAAAGCTAGTCAATTATTCGAAGCCATTGAACAGTTAAACCATTTTGACTCTGTACAATTTGCAATATCTTCAACTGAAAGTCAATATCTGTCCAGAAGTGAGGCTGCTCCACGACAAAAGACAACTACCTCGTCGTTAAACGCTGTTGATAACATCAATTCAGAACTAGTACATGACAAAACAGTGAAAACTAATATTATAAAAACAGCTCCAAATGATGCTTTAAATGGCACTCTGAATGATACTAGACCAGTTCGAGCACATATTGGGAAAACAAACTCCAGCCTTTCAAAAATTATCAGAGCAATCATGCCTCTAAATATTTTGCAGTCAGTACTCAATTATAAAGTTATTGAAAAGTGTTTTACCAGCAGTAATATTACAAAACATACATATCAGTTTATGTATGGGGATGAAAGTAGCAATCATACAGCATCATTGTCAAACAATGACAACTCATCTTCTGATAATATAACTAGTGCCGTATATTCTAAGAAAATGGACAACGTCACTGATGTAAGAGAATTTCATGGAAGTGACTTTCTTTCTGTGAATACTTCAACAGAAAATGTGCAAAACTCAAACAGTGGTTTGTCACAAGAACCAAAAACTATCGAAAACTTTCAGGAGGAGTTAGTAGCATCTTACGTAATAAACTCCTCTGTGGGAATATCAGAATCTATATTTCTAAATGTTGAAACAGACTCACCTTCGCCTCTTTCAACTTCAACTAATTTCGTCACTTTTGATACATTATTTGTGGACAATGTCAGCAATTCATCGGAAGAGACTCTCCAAAATTATACCTCATTGTGGAACAGTTCAAAAACAATACTGACTTCGAATACAACAAGAACGTTTATACCAGTCAATGCTAGAAAGCAAGTCAGTTCAACTGAAAATACAAAATCTTCATCTACAACACCTGATCTAACTAAAATAGCAACATTTAAATCAGTCACTTTAACTCAAGATAATTCATCGAATGTGATCAGGGTCTTCGGATTACTAAGAATCACCAGAGGAATTCAGTGGACACCAGAACTTACTAAAAAATACACCGAGGAATATATTCAGTTATCATTAATCCTTAAAGAATTGGTAAGTGATCAAAAAATGGTTAATAAAATCTAGTTATCTTCATTTTTGAATATCCAATCTAAGCATAGCCATATCTTACTTATTAGTTGAGATTAGCTGATCTCTATATCGATACTGAACGATTATTAATTATTCAATATAATTACCACTAACTATTACAAGTAGTACAGTTAGATTGTTAATTTTGGTCACATTAATACTGATCAAACGTACCTTACTTCAGACTAAATCACTATGGTATAAACGATTTCTCCACTCTGATTGTGACTAAGGTGACACTAAACGAGCATTTGTTTGTTTATTTCAGATAAAAGATGTTTTTATTCAGTCTTCTCTAGGAAACAGATTAATCGAAGTTGAGATCAACAAACTCAGGTAAATGTAAAAGTAGTAAATAAATCTATTAATGGAGTTATTCCTTTACAATACAAATATAACAATATATAAAGTCTTATCTTTAGTTCTTTATCAACGAAAACTTTAGGGCAAAGCCCCATAATTTGAGAACAAGTTTATTCATATCTTCTGGGACAAATAACTAAAGATAAGACTGTTTATTACATCTTGTCAGGGCGTTTCTTATCACAAGGCTGAGACTTGACATGGCCTTGTGGCTAGAGCACTCAATTCGCAGCCTGCGTGTCGCGGGATTGAAACTCCTTGCCGAACATGCTTTTTCATCCGTAAGGGCATAATAATGTGACGGTTAATCCCACTTTTCATTAGTTAAAAGAGTAGCTGAAGAGTTGGTGGTGGGTATTGTTAACTTTCCTTTAGTCTACCACGTCAAAACTAGGGAAGAATAGAGCAGATAACCTTCGTGTAGCTTTGCGCGAATATCCGAAACAAACACGTAAAAAACATGCTTTGATAAATATTTCATACAGAAAAGAAAATATTCTTCACTTATACGGTAATGTGTCTTGTAAGTTAATAGCAAAGAAGATTTTATATACATCCTTATTGTAAGTAAACTGTCTATTAGCGATAGTTAGTTATGAAGTTACTTTTTAAAAAGAGTCGGTTTTTAGCATATTGTTCAAACTTTTTTCGGTATTTCTTTTACGTGCACAATTTCAATATGAATAGGGGTACCCTCCATTGCGAAATTTTTATAATTTTAACTGCATATACATAATTTTATTTCTAAATTTGGTGGACAAACTAGTCAATATACAGCTTTTGTTGTTTCTACATTTACCATGACAGCAACAAGAATGATTAATCTCTACCCATTAAAACATGCAATTAGGTTCTTAACGATTTCTTGTTCAATGTTAGACAGACTGAAGATTTAAATAACAACACTGGACCAGCTGCTGCGAATTTAAATAAAACCATTCTAGTAGAAATACTGTGGTAGACTGTTTACTACGTAGTCCCCGTTACTCCTCCTTCCACTAATTGAAATGAACAAGTACATCTGACACGTGAAAGCTGTCTCTCACATAATGTGACAAGGGTTGGATTTGTAATTAATGCATTTTAGTTAAAATACCTTGACAGGAAGTAACTGTAAGGAAAGAAGAAAGAAGTTACATCATTAGTGGTATTAGACCGAACTAATTTATTTGTTTGCTTGTTCGTTTCAGAACATCTCGCAAAGCTACGCATAGCACATACCTAACTTGGAACTGATAGACTAGAGAAGAGGTAGCTAGTCAAACAAACCCACTCTTGTAGCTCACCCACAGTAACAAAATACGAAATGCGTGTTGCCGGCAACGGGTCGCAAACATTGAATCCTGAATGGTTAGCAACTAGGCCACACCCGGCACTAAATCGCATGAAAATTCATAACTCGAAAATTATGTTTTTGATAATTGTATCAGACTAGTTAAAACTATCGAATTCTCGTGTACTTTAACTTGAAAATCTGACGAAAAATTCCATTCCACTTTCCGCATTTCTGAACTTTAACTGATGCTGTTAAATATTCTAAAAATAACGGTTTCTTTAAGGTAGATAGAAAATAAATATTTTTTGCCCGCCAAAATGACTAACTATGTAAAGTCTGAAATCACGACCCTCATACCAAACTTCCTGACTTTATTTATAGTATTTTA